ATGAAATGGCAGTGTCAAATGATCAGTTTTATTTTATATCTTTTCCCATTTATTATTAGAGCTTATAGCTTTACTATGACTGTCTTCTGATGTGGTATATAATAGCTGGTATTCTCCAGGTGTCCCAGTATGTTTATCAAGATGGAAACATTTTTAGGTCAAAAAAACTTAATCTGTTTTAAATGTTGCATTTAACCATTTATAACCTTAACCTAGGGATGGAAGTCACAAGAGTAAATACATCATGAACCAGGTAACATCTCTGTGAAGTCAATCAGTCTTTCTGTAGAGTAAGTCACAGCTTATCTCATATCATGATTATAAGAGTAGATATAACATAAATTTCCACCAAGTCTTGTGAAGCTGTTGACAAAACATAGCTATGTTTCTCTTAACAGTGTGGTTTGCTCAGGTAACTTTTCTGTAGATTTCATTGGTAAACAATTTTTTGTGATTTATTCCTGGGTTGGGTTGTTGGTTTGGTTTTTGTTTTTGTTTTTTTTATGTTAAACTGAGATTATTTTAAGAGTAAGAAAACAAACTGATAGATGAAACAAGACCAGTCTCAAACTGAAATTATCCTCCTCATGACCTTTGTTCATGAATTCTTAACACATTTTAGATTTTCAAAGCAACTGTTTTCCCTGACCTGTGAGAAATAGGGATATAAACCTGTAACCTCTGTCTGCACCCATTCTCTGTATTAAAATATATCTTACTTCAGTAGTCAAACATCAGTAGCTGCAACTGTGCAAGACAGGTCTTGCACATGATCTGGCAATGATTTGTTTAACATGTTTGTGGATTTGGAAAAATAATCTCTTTTCTATTTAGACAAACTGTCATTCTTGTTGGATGCAAAAATATTTCCTTACATATTAAAGCTGCAAGAACTGAACCGTCCTTGAAAAACCATTGGAAAAATGTGATCCTACTCTACAACAAAAAAAAAATCAATCAAGTGAAGTTTCTTTTGCTTGAAGAACTGTTACCAACCAGTGATAACTCTGATTACCCACTCGTAAGTATAAATAGCTACAATAGCTGATAGCCTTTGAATTCAATGATAATGAAAACCAGAAAGTGTTCTACCATATATAGGGCAATTTTCCCAAAGAAAGGAAAGGAGGAGACACCAATCAGCCTCTGATTCCAAACACACAGTACATGAACAGTAATTAAACATGGCAAACTTAAGAAGAGAACATCAGAAAATCTTACAGAAAATCTTTTTACTTTTTGAAAACATTTCTTAACCTTCTTCCCTCTGCAATAAGCAGTTATTGTAGTGTACGAAAATCAGGCCCATTTGGAAACTTTCCAATAGGTTGGTATTGTCAATGGTATAATTTACATCTTAGATGAAATGCACAAAAATGGATCTATTTATAAAGCAGTTTCAGTCGTGTATCAGCATACAGTAAATATAACCTGAGCAACAATAGATTTGGGGAATTTTTTTATCTATAGTTAAGGCAAACAAGTTAGTGTAACTTGTAATTTGTTTTAGAATGGAATTTACAGTTATTTACTCAAAAGTCTGTGGTAACAGAGATCTTCACAGAAGTTTGTGAAAGTAATGTGGGATTACATTTCCACTCACAACATAAGGCAAATAGAATAGTGGCCTGTAACAGAGGCCCTGTACAGCTGTTGATGGATCCTACAACAGCTTATGTTGTGAAAAGCACTGACTGGGGTAGCTTTGTTAATCTCTCCTCAGTATTTCTCTGAGTTGGCCTGTTCAGGGAGAGCACAGAAGTTGGCTGTTAGGAAGTCTGTAGAGTGTGAGACGTGCTGTTTCTCCATTTTCATCCTTCTCTGGAGGACTGTCTCCCTACAGCAGGGTAGTGGGAGAAAGACTTTTCTACTAATGGTGAGTTTTGTTTTTAAAATCAATGTACAAAAAGGCTTTGGGCAAAATTAGATGCTATAAGTCAAAATAATTTTTGTGTTTCACTTGCACTGCAGTAAGCAGGAAGTCCATATTTGATCAGGCCCATAACCTTAATTCTTGTTCATTGTGAATTTTGGTGAGCTGCTCTGGTGACAGAAAAAAAAAAACCAGAGCACAGAAAGATGTGGAGCAAAGAGATTACGCTCTCAGAATTAGTTTGTACTTAAGAGGGCAGCAGATTGGGTTATTTCCATATTGTGACTGTAGATAATTGTCTCTTAGAATTTCTTTCCTGTTGCACTCAGTGGGCTCCAGATATTTTCTTTGTATCTGGAGGGCACTGCTTCAAAAACCACAGTATCACAGAAAAGCTGAGTTTGGAGAGGTGACTCTGGAGGTTACCTTGCCCAACCCCACCAGTTCTCCAAAAGTTTCCTTCCCTTCCAACAGAAAGAACCCTTGGAAAGGTACCAAATAAAAGCATTTGTTAATTTGGTGACAGAGAGGCTTTTTATTCAAAAGAGAGTTGAAATTACATAGCCGTTTTCTGGAAGCTTCCCTTCTGTCTTCATTCTTACCATGTGAAGAAATGAGGCTTTACAATTAAAGAGGGAAGAGCCATAACTACTTGTGACTGTTCTGTTGGATTTAAGCTGATTCCTACTCATCTGGGAGAAAGCAGAAAGGATGAACAATCTTTTCATAAGGTTTCCCACTTCTGCTGAGGCACATTGAGGAAAATCCCTGTAACCACAGACCACCTGGACACAGCCCCTGCCCTGCCCAGCTCTGGAGGCAGCAGGAACAGCCTGGACAGAGAAAGCAAGGGTAGGACTTGTGAGATTAAAGAGCTGTGTCTACCCTAGAGTAACTTCAGTGGCTGCAAAGGATTTGGTGTTTTTGAGTGCCTGAGAGGAATGTGGTCTCCTTCTTGGGGTTGCTGTGTGTCAGTGAGGAAATGGAGGGAAAATGTGGGTCTTATGTGGAAGAAGTCACATGGGACATATCCTGGGAGACAAGGAAAGAGAAAAAATAAGATGAGGAAATAGAAAATAGAGAATTAAACATTGTAACGAAACAGGTGTCCTGTACAAAGAGCTTTCCCACTGAGCTTCTCCTCAGCACCTATAACAGGCCTGGTTTCAGATACAGAGTGGAGGGAGGGCCCAGGTGGGGATCCTGGAGAGATGCAGGCCAGAGTTGGTGTGAGTCTGATTTTATCTTTGTTCATTTGCCTGTTTCAGTATTGAGCCTGATTTCCTAAAGCTTTTACATTAGAAAAAAAGGAGGTGTTCATAAACCTGTACAGCATTTTTGCCTTGGAAGGACACTTCCCAGGGTTTTAATAGCAGCAAGTCTGTCACATACGGGTTATTTTGTACAAAGGGAAGAGAAAGGACACTGAACTTCCCAGTCTGTTTGGCTGTCCCTCCAGGGTGACCCTGCTCAGCCTGATGAACCACATCTTCTACTGTCCATTTGATATCAAACTCAGGATACAAGTGAGTAGGCAAATGAACTGGAAGTTGAGTCCTGGCATGCAACTCATGAAAGGCACAGAGACGGGAAAACGTCGAGGGGAGGAAAAGGGGGTGGTGGAAACCAACAGTTTGGTTTCACCTGGAGTTCAGTCCTGTCAAAACACAGGAATAAAACAGCATGATGCTTCTCAGGCTTAGGTTAAAAGGAAAAAAAACCCCAACCAAATAACAAAAAAAGCCCACCCCACCCAGTAATTTGTAAAACATCAGAAATTATGGGATCATGAGGTAATCTCAAGTAATCCCTTTTGGTAAAATGTCTGGTCTGCTTTTTTTTTACTATGCTTTTTATGATTAATTTTCCTTGTAAAGTAGTACTGTTGATACCAGTTACACACATACTCTCTGAGTATTAACATGAAAATGTAAGTTCATTTCAGGAACTGCTGGAGGGTGGATGTTATTCACATTTTATAATCCTTGTTTATGTTATGCTTTGTCTATTAAGTAAAATAGTTTAAGTGCACTAAGTGAAATGGGAGATTTATATTTTAAGGTGGGGTTATGTTTAGAGAAATAGTTGTTATCTACATCACTGAGAAATGCACAGTGCATTTTCTTTGGGCTTAAAGCCAGACGAGACATTCATAATAAGTTATTCTGACTCCCTAACAAGGGCTCTTGAATTCAGTTACCTGCCTGAATTATTGAAGGATCTCAGGACACTTGAGGAGGAAGGTCTGCAGTCACTTTCTCACATTGTTACTGCAGTTTAACATCCAGTGTATTTTACTCTCAAGCTTGAAGCTTAAATGTAATGTGAAGGTTTGTCTGATTTGGTTGCCATTATTTGACATCCTTCGCTTGAAATTATGATTCTACCCAAATTTGCTAAAAATTCACCTTAGGCCTAACCACTTCATTTTGTGAAACAGATATCAAGACTAAATCTAGTTTTGTGTGTTTATTACAAGTGTTATTGTCCTCCTTGACTAGTTTTGGTGTGAAAATATTTTCAGTGCTACTTCTGTACTTACACCAATCTGATAATTTTGAAAATTAAATATAAATTTGAGAGGGAAATCAATTAGTTGCATATTAAATTATATATGTTATATAATACTTTAATCAAAAAATCATCATCGTGTAATATAGTGAGACACACTTGGAAAAAGTACTACTTTATGTCTGACTTTTTCTCCTTTATTAGCATGCCTGGTTTTAGCATTTGCTGGAAAGGGAAATGCATGGCAAACTTTTATATTCTGACTGATTCAAAACTTGATACACAATATAGTACAGCAGTTTATTCTTAAATATGAATTTATTATTAAACATAATATCATTATGCATATTAAAATCACTAATAAATGCTTTGCTATTTACATCAATTTTTATATTAATCCATGCTGTGGTTTTAGGGTGTTAAATTATTGCATTTATAAATCGTTTATTTGAGGAAGAATTATTTATCAAAATGTAATTGTGGAAAAGTAATCTTTTTGAGATTGGTTTCTCACAAATCCTATGACAGCAAACTAGAGGAATATAATTGTCCTTCTCTTTCATTTCTCAACAGCTTTGAGACTGTAGTTTGTTATTTTACCTTGCAGCATTTTTCTGGTGTATACACCAGATATTTCCTCAGCACGCTGCCTGGAGAAGGAAATGGGAATTTAAAAATGAAACCTTCCATTTTACAAAATTGATATAGACCACCCAGTAAACTCAGGTAAGTACTGCAAGTACCCACTTCATGTCATTACATTGTGGATCAGAATGCACAAGGTACCACTTGTGGGTGAAAGTTGCCCCCTACTGTCCCATATGACACTTGCATACAGAATCATAATTCACAATATTTGAGATTCGTCTACTCTTTCTTTAAAGGACATGTTGTAATTCTAAATTTTAGAATTTCATATGGGTGTATGGTGCATACAAGATCAGATGTTATAGGAAGAAAATGAGCTCAAAGACTGGACTCATAAATTCCTGTTCTTGTTAAATACTAAAATTAATTGATCTGTTTAGTTTTATTTAGACCTGTACCTGAGTGTGAAGCAGATTTTGCCTTTAATAGCTATATGTATATATATTATTGAAAGAATTATGTTTTTCTTCCTTGTTCTTTGCAATGGAAATTTCATGGGTTGCTGCACAATGGGACTCTACCATTTAATGTCACAGTGCTGAATAAAAGGTGAAAAGGCAGTTAAGGAGGGGAAAATAGAGATTACAGACACAAGGAAAGAAATGTGTAACTAACAAAAACGTTACTGAGATAATACTTAGTGTTTCATTCCATATATGTAAAATGTAATTTTGAGGGAATCTCTATATGTGGTAGTGTTATGAACCTTTAAAGGGATTATGTTTAAAATGTTTGTTTTCAGGGTCTATTTAGTTGCTGCAGACTACTCCTTTTGGACCTCTTCTTTCAATTGTACAATAATTGCAGATTATCATTTCATTTGTGAAATATTTTTGTTTATACAAATAGCTGTAGACATTAAGAAAGAAACAAATCTATGAGTTCTTATTTTTTTTCCACCTTTTCAGAATACTGTAAATTCCCTTTTTGCTAATCCCTTAATAGTAGTAGTTAGTTCAGCTGAACTACCTATGGATGCTTTATAAGAATTTGTCAGCAGAGCAAATTAGCAGTTCAAAATCCTTACATGCATAAATAATTTGAAGACCGAGGAGAAATTAATCACAAACGCCAAACCTCTGGGAAGCTTGTAAAGCATTGTCCTAGTCACAATGTAAGTCTCTGTCCCCATTTACACTGCACAAATGGTACTTGAAAACAGCTACAGTGGTAACAAAACAATTGCCAATGTTTATGCTTTCAAATTATGTCTGTCAGAACAATTTGCATGTACGGATCCTAAATGATTCAGTAACAAATGCCAAACATAACTTTGTAACAGTAGACAACTGGTATTACACTGATATTATTAGCATTTATTACATTATTATTTTTAAGTTTTAGATACCAGTTTTGTTGGATATTTTTATGAAATTGCAGGTTTTTTTCAAATCCAATCTTTGATTTGCAATTTCCAACAAGGAATCCTTAAAGCATTTTACAAACTGCGTAGCACGCAGAAATCATTTTGAAAAGAGAAACAGTAGGGAAAAAAAAACTGCCTGGAGGCAGTTGGTGGGAGTTGAGGATCTGTCAATGGCAAAGTGGCAACACAACTGTACAAGGACTGAGATTGCAGGGATAATGGTGTGTTTTTGAAGGCAACACACATTCTTTTCCTCGGTCCTAGTACCTGTTGCTCCTGTCGGTACTACTTAACTTCTGTAGAGAACCCATTTCTCTTTTTGAGGATTCATTGGCAGTGTCAGGGAGATATCAACCAGGAGGCAGCTTCTGCTTGGATGTTGTGCTAAGTGTTTAAGCTTTACATGCCTAAGGGGGACAACAGGAAAAGCTTAAGGAGCAGAAATCCATGGAGGCTTAAATACTTAGAAGTATTAGAAGCCACTTGTGGCTCAGAAATGCCCTGAGCAGAGAAAGGGTAGAGGGTGAAAGAATGTTAGGAGGATGTGTTACTTATTCTTTCCTTGCTGTTGTTATTTAGGCACTCTTAGTGACTTCACAATATAAATTATAAGTCATTTATAGCAGAACATGAAGTTAAGCCTCCTGGTTTTTAGGCCTCCTTCATTGCTCAAAAGAGCTCTTAGTGTATAATGTGTTCAGCACAGTCCTACTTGGGGCAACAGTACAGCAGACACTTTTAGAGTGGAAAAAGAACAGAAAGAAATTGGGAACTGACATTATGAAAGCTGAAGTGCAATACAGGTCCTGTATTCTAACAGCTCGAGTTCTCTGTTCTTGAATTTCTTGCAGTCCAGAAGTCGTGACCTGTACACAGTCTGAAGTTCAGGGTCACAGTGGAACTTAACTATTCTGTAACCCAGTGATCAAATTATCACTCTGTGGTTTGCTAACTTGCCACTCTCTCTGTTATTCAGCCACTATTATCATTTCAAGAATTTAGTGTTTACTACACTTTAATATATCTGAAAATACATACTTGAACAAGCAACCACTGTGTTGCACAAGTTTGAACTTCCTCTCATCCAAACTGTGATGTGGTCCCAAAATGTGCAGTTTATCCCAAACATGCCTTGTAAATTTATCTGTGTTAAATTTACAAACAAAACCAACAACAGAACCGTCATATTTATAAGGATTCACAAACAGAGTCAGATCAAGTAACAGATCTGAGTCAGTATTTCTGAAAGAATGTAGAATGATCAACCTAAAAGGCAGACATCTGGCAGTATTGCAGATGTCTTTCTCAGGAAAAGAAGGAAAAAAAAGAAAAAAGTACTTTAATCCTAGAAAGTTAAAGAGAAGTTGACCAGATACTTGAAGAAGAGTAATTTCCAAAGTTGTAGGGTTTTGCTTTTTGCAACATTTACTGTTGTAGTTCAGATTTTATCATATGTGTGAATCACAAAGTCGCTCTTTGATTTCACTTTTATATTGTCACCTTTACATCAAATGTTATTGAGTTCATTACTCTTCTTGTGGCACTAGCATTGTTACCAGCATGTGTTATCTTGTCTGTATCTGCTGTGTTCCTGTTGATCAAAGTGCCCAGAAGTGAAACTCTACCATTAGTTTTGTATAAAGCTCTGGATATTTGGCACAATAGGTTGTATAAATTTAAAAGCATGTACTAATATGCAGCATAAATGCAAGTGTGATATAGAATATTGACTTTTGTATTTTCCTCTATATTTTCACCCTGTAGATTTTCAACCTTAACATATGCCTTAGCTGCTATAGCACAGAACCTGACTAAATTCTTCTATTGATTGTATCTTGGATCAGCATAAAAGCAGCAACAAACAGAGATATTACACTGAGCAATCTGAAGTATCCCAGAGAAAAGGCTGTTTTTTCTTTTCTTTTCAAATGTATGGCAAGGCAAAAATCCATCTGTCAAAGTAATAACAAGGTCCTGTTTAAAGAAACAAATTTCTAGTTGTGTCAATACATTTACTGTAGTTTCCTATTAAACCTTGTTGCAATTTATTTCCTTCTGCTCTAGATGCAACATATTTGACTGAAAAGTAGTTAAAATAATGTGAAGTTTTCTGGAAAGTCATGAATACCTTATGTGAGTGGAAATGTGTTCAGTTGCCTGTTGCTCCACAGCCATTAATCTGATGAATAAAGAGTTTGCACATGGGTTCACTCAGAGAGTTAACATCTGATTTTACGTGGAAATGTTTAAAAGAAAAAGTACAGCATAGCCTGAAGCCTGTTAGATAGACTTTTAGAGATTTATTTAATGCAGTTTCTTGCTTTTGTTCCTATTGTCTACTTAGAAAAGAATGTTGTTTTGAAATGTAAAATGAAATAAGGGGAAACAATTCAAACAGCATTTCTACTGGACAAAAAAATCCTTTACCTCAAACACATACAAAACCTGTCAGTTCTCATTACTCATCTGTTGTTCTACTATTTCATTATCATCTACATTAAATCAGATGATTCCCCACCTTTACACTGGTGCTTTGGAGATAAAATAAAGGGGCAGGAACTATCTTCATTTATCAGCATCAAATAGTATCAACATTTGTACTGGGATAGTATTTAGAACAAATAGAATTAGTAGCTATTATTTCTCTCTGTGGAGATAAATGCTTGATGCAGGAGCTACTTAGTCCTAAGTTACAGGGCAATACTGCATCTCTTCTTGATCAAAAAGGGATTCCTGGTGAATTCAGGAAATCTTCAAACATAATGTGTGTCCCTGTTTGCTGCTTCTGTTATTGTTTTTGAATTTATTGACTCTGTTTACCTATTACAGTGCACTGGATATGGATGATTGGAGTAATACTTGACTGGAATTTCCCCTGCTTCTTCCTATAATGTTTTTAGTGACACTGAAGAGACTTGGGACTTGAAGGTAACTCTCATGCAGTCAGAAATTGCATTGCTTTGATAAAGAGCATGTCATATTGTGTTCATATTGTGTACTTGCCTCTAAAAGCAAGACTAGGTGTGCCACTGGAAAATATTTTTGTCTTCTCCAAATTGTTTATTGAAGATGCTCTTTGCCTCATTTTTTTTTAATCTAATTTTAGAATATTTTTTGACTTGAAGTGGTAAATTGTCTAAAAGCAAGTTAATTTTGATACAAAAAACTGCATGTATTCATCTCTTCTGTGTCCAGTGTCACTGACCTAAAATCTGATGCTTGCTCATTTCTAAGTGAATTCAATTCCTTAATACAGTTGTAAATACAAAAGTTTTGGTTTTGTTTTGTTTTCTCATTGTTGTTGCTGCTGCTGTTTTTTAGAGTTAAATATGCTAATTCCTACAGATTTTCTAGTGAGAAGTAGCTGGGAACTATGCTCAAATGGCAGCTGAGTGTCCTTAGATTATAAACATAATATTCATAATCTGACCCGTGCTCCATCAAAGGGCCCAGCTGGCCCACGTGCCCTGCAGGATAGGCCAGGACTATTTAGATAGTTCATGACCAAATACAGGGAGCCAAAGGCAAGAAAATGAAAGCTTATTTCTTTATTTTTAGCCGCTCCTACAGATAGCAAATATTTACTATACACGAAAGTCTCACACCCTTCAGACACCACTTGGAATGTTTGGCTGTGACTTGTCTTCTAAGAAGATTCCATAGGAAGCTTTCCTTTTCTTGCCAAATCTTCCTGTATTGGAACAAAGCTTGTTTCAGAGCAGGCTTTGCCTTCATTAAGCTTGGTTATTAACTTTGGAAGATTACAAAAAGATACAGGCTGTGTAAAAAAGGGGCTTTGTTGGCCTGCTGGAGGGTGAAAAATAGAGCTACAGACTGAATAAGAGTGGAGAGTAAAATCAAACTGTGAAATGAAATGTTGGTAGGGGAAAGGCCTCTAAGAGCTGCAGTCACGTGTTATAGTGCAATCTTTTAATAAGATGATGTCTCCAAAAGTGAGTTATTCCAAATGGGTCATCACTGAATTGAGATGAAATTAATCCTATTATATTTCTTTACCTTGTGTCTGAGAGATATAGCAATAGGTACATATGCTCAGGATGTATTTTTAAATGGGATATTGACACTTATCAGCTGCCTGAGAAAGCTTCTATCTCTGCTCCCTTGATTGATAGGAAAATATGCTGCTTGCAGATCATACCCTGTTCTAGTCTGAAACTGAATTTCCTTAAACTTGGCTTTCCAGAAATTAAATGCTCTTGAATGGATAAAACCAGTGTATTTAAGGAGCATTTTGATGAAGTAAATTCTTTAACATCCTGATGTATATTGACCAGAACAATGGAGGCATATATGCCCTGGAGTTAATGCGTGGATGTGTGTGGCAGATGCAAGGCCTGCATATGGATGTTAAAATCCACATCAAGGCTTGTATCAACTCAGCATGATACAGCAATTGAGAATGGCTGTTTGTAGAGCTCTGGTCAGCATTAGTAAAAAAAGAAAGCAGGGTTTGCATTCCACAGTGGTGGTGTAAGTCAGCCTGTGTAAACCTTCCTTCATGTGGGTGCACATCATTCTTCAGGCACATCCTTGGTTTAGACTAACTGTGACTCACATGGATAATGTGTTAATCTGACAGCTAATGGTGCTAAAAAATGGATTAACTACTATGTACACGACAGAAAATATCTATCAAAAAGCATAATTTTGCTTTTCAAATACTCTGTTCCAGTTCACTCCTCCTTTGTTCAAGGGGGTGATCTGCTCATCAAAAATGGTTTATACTTGCTTTTACTTCTGGAAGAAAGGTGGCTCCTTATTGCCATTTTTATTAGAAAACTTTTGAGTTTTTTTCTCCCTGGTAATTTTTGTTGACATTTTCATATAATCACAGTTAACTATCTTGCCCACAAAGCTATTGAGGATGCAAAACCATCTGTGAACCATGGCCTGCAGCTAAATACTTCCCAAATCAGGATTAGCAGCCTCTGTTTTGTTTTGTTGTTTATTTTTTTCCCAGTTAAAAAAATGCATGTGTCCTTAAAGAGAGGATGGATTTTGATTAACTGAAAATTATTAGCTTGGTCTGTAATTAAATGTGAAAATAATTAAATCTTACTTTCAGAAGACACAAACTTCTGCAGCGTATTCTTCCTAATAGGCTCTGAAGTAACATGTCAAGAGTCTCACAAAACACATTATAAAATAGGAATGGGGTAAAGGTCATTCCACCTGCTGTGGCCATACTAAAACTAGTCTTGTTGATCTAACTGAAACATATAAAAAAGGTAGTTTAGGGCAGAAGGTTGATAACAATACTGAGGTATTTACCTTGTATTCTAGGAAGCAGCAGTATAGATAGCTACAAATAGTCACCCAAAAGAGTGAATGTAATTAAAGAGATTTAATTGACAAAAAGAGATTTGTCTTCATGACTAACATTCAAAACTTTCATCTTCTAGAGTTATTAAAAAAAAAAAAAAAGAAAAAGTTTCTAAGGTTTATAATTTATCTATATTTATCATATAGATAAATTATAAAACTCAGAATCTGTTATACAAAGTATTGGAGGTAGCTGTTGCAACACTTTTATTTTATTGCAATTGCTTCTGTTGCAGTAGTTTCTGAAGTGAAAATAAATCCCAGCTTAAATTTTCTGTTATCTTTTCCAGTAAATGCTGCAGTGTATTGGTTGGCATTTTGGCTATGAGAAGCTTTCTTGCACAAGGCTGTGCACATCCATGTGTTTGGAAATTTGCTTAAGTATTCACTGCCAAGCAGGGTTTTTCTTCTTCAATAGTGATCAGATATTAGTTTGACTGTGTGTGGAAATGTGCAGTAAATCAGTGATGGATTTTTCCATATGTCTTGCATAAAATCCAAAAGTGGTTTATCTAATGTAAGCCAGAACAGCAGAAAACAAATTATAAAGTCATATATTAAAAAAGGCCTTAGCAGAGTTATGAAATAAATAGATAACATAACATGTGGATCTTAATAAAATGAACTGTTTTAGTTAGAGGATTCTTTTATTTGGCTAATGAATTTCTCGAAACAGGAGATTATCTTGTTACACCTAATTATGTAACATTTTTGCTCCAGGGTTTAAATGCTGCAAATAAGTGATTCAGTCTGGGGGTCAACAAGTACCCAAAGATGCTGCAGGTAAATCCAGTTTCCTTACTTTTCATATGTGGTCCATGTCCTGACAAAGCTCAAATAACTGCTCTGAAACACTGGAGCTCTAAGGGGAGTTGTCTGAACTATGTTGTGCTGGTTTAAATATATTGATTCTGTCACCACAGGACACATCTAACCTGTTTTATTCATTTTCTCTCTGCTCATTTCTGTATTCATCTTTATAAAGAGAGAGAGTTAAATAGATCTCTTGATGTTAAACAGTATCTACATCTATTAGACAGTATTGTATAAGTGATTACAGATTAAACCAATAAATAGCTTGCACAGGAATTTGTTGGGCATTTTTTGGACAGGTTAGCTTTTAAAAGCAACTTGATTTTATTTTAATCAAGTAGAATCTGAAAAATTGTATTTAAATAGAACACATAGACATCTTTGATATTTCATACAATATAGCTTGGAGCATAGTTCAGCATCTGGATAGACTAAATTTAATGTAATTCATCTGTACAGACTGCTTTTTCTTGAGTTAAAAAAAAAGAAATCATATGTCAAAATTACCAGATACCTCTGTCTTATGACTGAATAAAGAAATTAAAGAAGCTAAAAAGAGGTATTATCAATCATTTAGGGAAATTTTCTGAGTGATGAGAAAATAACTTTTAGCTCCTCGTTTTTTAAAAAACCCATGTCCCTATAGACAATTTTGTCTTTTATAAATGGCTACAAAAAAGTTAGTTCCAAAACAAGGCAAATTAACAAAATTTAGCTGCAAATCAGTATAGTATATTCTTAACCTTAAGTACACTTACAGTCCAAGTTCAACTGAAATAAACAATTTATAATAAATCAGATATATCGTATTTATCTTCTGATAATCCATTACCATGCAATAACCCTAGATATTCCCAAGAGCTTTTAGTATTAACATAACATGTTAATTGAATCAGCAAATAATTTTCAATCTGAAAATCATCTTCATGGCAATTACTGATATTAAATATACAATTTATATGAAATGCAAAGCATGTGTAATTGACCCAACGAAACAGTAGTTTGAATTCTAGTTTATATTCAACTTCTATGTTTATATTCAGTGTATGTGTATTGAAACTGGAAATACTGGCTGCTTCAAACTGGGATACCTGTCCCATTACTACATAAGATGATGTGAACTGGTAATTGTAAAACTTCACTGCACAATCAGAAATTCACTTTCATGAACATGTGCTAAAAAAATTATTTTTTGACGATTGTGCTTGTAAAACTGAGTTTCACACATGCTCACCAGAAGTTAACCTCAGTCTCAAAATAAACTCCTGTACCTATTCATTTCACATAAATTAAGGGATATAAAATATTTGTAATTGATAGCCATCTTTCAGATCACCTGTGCTTTGTATGTATTTGAGTGTTGTTCAAGAAGCTATACCATGTGAATATAGAAGGTAATATATAGGCTTGTAATTACAATTAAGCTGTGAACTTTCAGAGGCAGTGAAGTGACCCAACCCCATTCTAAAGTGCAGCGCAGGGTCCCTATTTCTGCTTTCTACCTACAAGTTGTGCTGCTCTTTCCCTTTTATCTCTCAGACTCTCCAGAGTGACCTTTGGCCATGTGAACTTTCTGAGATGCAGCTTTTAAAACCAGTGAGAGTTGCCAACTATGATCTAAAATTAAGGTTTTCACTAACATTTAAAAATAAAATAATAATAAAAAGTAGTAGTGTTCTAAAACTGTTTGTGGTTTTTCCAGTTCACCCTGTTCTGTTCTGGATGCCAAATGCCAACCCAATACCAATAGTCCTTGCGTATGTATTTTAACTTCCAGAACATCAGTGATAACAGTTGTTTCTTAAAGCTTGAAACAGACAAAGTATCTTGAGAACTGTGAAAGAATGTATTGTTTTGATATTTCTCCTTATTTGTTTTGTTTTGCTGCACGTAATCAAGAAATACTTTATTTTTTAAACAAGTGATTTACAGGAAGGAAAGGATTAATTATACTGATGAACCCTGTATTGTTAGCCACAGTAATAACTGTAGACATATTTTACTTCTATAAATATCTCCTCTTTTATCTAACATCTTTCAGTCAGATGGTGCTGAGATCCCTCCTTCTTCACTAAGATTCCTACAATCCATATTTCGGCGGTATGTTTTATATGTAATACAATAAAATCCACAAAATGTGCTGTTGCCTCGCTTTTTAGTACAGTAGCATCCAGTTATGAAAGGAATAATGGATGCAGGGGATGAATAAGACTAGTCAGGTTTGGATTTCATTTTCTAAATTAATTCAGCTGGCCTAACAGCCCTAGAGGTGCCCTTTAGCAGAGAAATTGTTAGAGAAAGTTAGATTAGGTGATAATTACAGGACAGAATAGAAGTTGAACAACTGCTTTTCTCTCTTTCTGGATTTTTGAGGAGAGCTGAATCAGTTTGGCATATTGAGAAACCAGAAAAACAGTGGGGCTCTCACTTTGTTTGTCCTGAAAATTAAAATCTCAATAAGTAAAAATACTGAAAAGCCTCTAAATATATTATATGAAATTCCAAACTTGTATTGCCAAGAGGGTATTTACTTATGTTAGGGCTCCATCTACAGTCATGAGGAAGCAAATCTTACCATCGATGGCAGCTCTCTCAGCTTCTGTGGCTTCATTGATTCATCATGTTTACCACGATAAACTCTCTCCTTTTATTGAGGTCAGCACACTTCAAGCTCTTTGCAGCCACGGTTAAAGTATCCGATCTCTAATTATTTCCAGTAAAGAAGCAGATAAGGTTACATTGACTACATGTGCCAGTATTCCTCTAGGGTTGGCTTAAATTTCAAGTAATTTTATTTTCGGAAGGTTAGCAGGCCCAGACAACATCATCATAGAATGGCACTCACACATTTCTAAAATTGGTAGGATTTTTGCCGCCTCACTGTTTCAGTTTGAGAGGCTCTTCAAGAACATCATTCCTCAGATGATGAACACTATCCCAGTACTCACAGTCTAAATGTATTAATGGGCTTCTGGTATCCTTTTCATTTTAAGCCAACACTGACCTTGAGTTAAAATAGAGTGGATGTAATAATCCTCAGCCTTGATTTATGATAACATATAGAAACAGTTATGGTACTACAATATAACTAAATAACTCAAACAGTGCTCCTTTATTTGGTACTTTTTGCCATCAAAATATGAATTGGAATTTGACTTGGGTCTTCCATTTCTTTGGAACAGTCAAGCAGAAGTGAAGACAGTCACTTGTGAGGAATATGGAAGCTGAGCAGTAAGTGGAGGTGTGTTTATTTCTTTACTACTGTCCATATGCTAATCTATTGAATAATTAATCTTATGTAAGTGAAAACAAGCAAACAAAAACACCCAAATCTTGTCCTTCACTTACCGAATAAGTAGAAGGGGGTAGTAAATCAGGGGAAATATTTAAATAACAAAAATAGCAATAAAAAGGTCTAAACCTGGGACAATACATAGCACTGACATGATTTACTCACCCAAGGGAAGTCTCACCCTTAAGCAAATAGACACATAAAGTGGATGGGACAAAGCTTAGAGGTACAAAAATCAGTCTCGCAGTTTTTTATATAAAATTAATGTGTACCAATGACAGTTTAGCTACCAACTGCATAACAGAAGCTAAGAAAGGCATGGACTAGAAGGTATTTGCTTGAGCATGACTAAGCATATTAAAAAATGTATTGTTAAAGAATGTGACAACTGTAGTAACAAAGGTTAACACTGAACTTTCTGTTTAGAAAACTAAGTAACTGAAATAATGGATAAATAATTATTTGGGTGTTTTTTTTAATAGGTAACCACTTTTTAAAAAAGTAGCACACACAAGAAATCCATTTCTCAATTTTTTTTGAGAATTGCTCAAAGTGAATGCTTTCTCAACATCCATTTGCAGCAACTCTCCATGCAGCTGCAGAAGTCTTGGCAATAGCTGTTGATGGAGGGCAAATTTGGGCTCTTACTTCCAGTACCTGAAGAGCACTGTCTTCCCATTTACAGGAGGGCAGTGTACAGCAGGAGAATGCAGGGATGATTAGGTGGAGCAGGTGATGGTACCCTCTGGTAATCTGCATGTCAAAACTTTTATTTGCTAATGTTCTTGTGAATATGAAACAGGAATGGATGTGTTTCTGTTTCCTGAATGTTTGTGGAATGTAAGAAATATAAAGGAAAAAAACAAGAGTTGCAAAACCATAACAAGCAGCTCTAGCAGATGCTGATAGAGGAATATATTGTAAAGAAAAAAGTGTTGGATGTTGGCACAAAAATATTTCTCTGGACTAGTTTCATTGCAGTGGTCCCCACTTAAATGAGGAACAGCAAAAATATTAAAGAAACTATCCTGTTAAAGTAAGGACTAGTGCTCCAAATCAGCAAGACTGAGCTAATGGAAGTCTGAAAGTTATCTCACCATTTGCCAGTAGGGGGAAGGGATACTTCTTTACAGTTCTCAGAGAGGCATAAAAAGCACCACGGCTCAACTAAAGAAAAGGTTTGCCATACTGGGTATTTTGTGAACTATAGGAAGTTCAGTAAAATAATTTTGAAGGAGGTTTCTGTTGGAGTTTGGTTTGGGTTTTTTTAATTCTTGAGTAGACAACATCATTAACACTGTGGCAGGTTTCTCCTGCTCTTCTAAAGTGGATTATAAAAAAGATACTGGCAAATAGAACAAAAGGTGGAAGACAAGAAAGAGCCTATTAGAGAAGGGCAAGGTCTATGGTCATTTAAAGTGATGGCTTTTAGTTATTGTGTTGTTGTGACACTGCATTTTATGGGCTTACATTGTTACACTCTTTTTTTTTCAACCTACCTAAAATTTAGTTTGATGCACACAAAATTTTGATGAGCAGAAACCAATAAATTTAAACACAGTAGCCTTACAGTATGAATTTAAAATTCAATCCAAAGAAATGTGACTTGTTTTAAAACAAGTCAATTGTTTTGAGCATACAATCAGTGAGGAGAAATTTTCACAATGAAAAGAAAGCTGAAGCTGTCCAATACTTGCCAACTCTTCGGATGCTCACATATGTTCAGAATTTTTAGGCCTCCTATTACAAAAAGTTCATTTGTAGGTTGGCCAGAACAGCAAAACCACTACATAAGTTGGGCACAGAAAGGAAACTATTTCAGTGATCAGCAGTGTGTGATTTAGCATTCTGAGAGTCAAAGAGGCTCTTGTGATTGCTCCTGTTTTAGTCTCTGTGTGTTTCAAAACCCCTTTCATATTGTGCACAGCTGCTAACACTTACAGTTTGGGGATAGTGTTGACACAGGAACACAAAGGGTTTGAGATATTGCTTATTGCAGGTCAGGGGGAGGACACGGGGCGGGGTAGGAGTTTTCCAAAGCAAGATTCTTGCAAAACTAACTCATGACTATGGCTAAGGAGTATTTTATTTGTTGCAAATTTATGATCAGGGCAGACCATGCATCTCATTCAATGGTTCTGTAGATTCAGGTATTCTGAGGGAAACTTGCCAAGCAGTTACAGATCCACCACACTGTGCCAAAAACTGGAACACAATCATGTCAATGCTACTGTCGCATTCATATAGGATTTGGATTGCTAGATGCAAGTATTTCCATGAACAGGAATGAGTGACCTTTGTAAAAAGAAAAAAAAAAAAAAACCTTTTCTATTCTAGACCCATGAGTTGCTGAAACTGAAAGCAGAACATTGAAATTTGTGCTACCTATGAAACTGTTTACTTGGGAAAGTATCTTTTTGAGCTATCACAATATATTGTTCACAATGTAAAATATGAATTATTCTACAGGAGGTGAAAAACAGTTGATGATGACCAGGATAGGGAACATCTGTGCAGATGAACACGGTTGATAGGTCTGATCACAGGACATACGGAAAGATGAACAGGATCTGACCCCCCTAAATGTGGGCTCATCTTAACTGTGCTCTTTAGAGCTCCCCAGCAATGGGTACATGTAACATCAGGCTGTACTTAATCTTTTGGGAAAAAGGAGATAACATCATGATTTTTAGGCTGCTGGGCTGCAGAAACCTTGGCATTATGCACATTATTCTTGGACCTGGGAGAGGTTCTCACAGTCTAGCAAATCTGGACACTTCTGCAAAACGGCCCCTAAGAAACCAAGGAGAACCTTGAGCTTGGGCTGAGGTTAAAGGCTAAAATTGTTTTAGTAAGTTTGTCAGGCTCTCTAGTCTTTCCAGAAAGACAAGTTGTTTGCAAAGGGTCTCAGATCAGGAATTTAACGAAACCTTGATGGATCACTTTTTGGTGGAGTCATTTCTTGCTAGAGAAATCAAGAGTGCTTAGGCCACTAGGTTAAACATAACCTTTGCAAATACCCTCAAGGGATTTCATACAGTGTGTGGTAGTGAACTGAAAAAATACTGTTCACATGGATGAAGCTCCTAAAAAGGAAAGTAAATTATTTGGATTACGTATAAAACCTGTAGATAAAAATCACATTTATTTCTGCAAGAATTAAAACCCTCCAGCAGGTAAGGACACTTAGCTGTACTCTTTAAAATGCTTCCAAGCATGATTTTACAATCCTAGGAGAAAGAAAAGCAGGACTTCTTTGAGGAAGTCAATAAAATACTGATACATATATATAAGAAGTAATGGATGGAATACATTTGGTCCCAAGACTATATTCTGAGTTGTTTGTAAGGAATAGATGATGTGATAACAAGGATTTCAGTAAAATTGCCTCAATATAACGATTATGTGATGTGCTGACTAACAAAGACTTTGAAGCAAGAAGAAACAATTTCCATCTGTTCAAAACTGTTGAGCATTCTTTGTAAATACACAGGATTAAAGGAAAAAAAACACCTGATTTTGGCATCTGTTTCTTTTCAAATGGAAACAAACGGAGGTTAGTAAACTTTTGGTTGTTGGAGCAGTTTTGGTGGGTTTTTTTGCTTGTGCGTTTTTATAGAACTGGGGTAAAAAAAGGGGGTAATAGTATGTCCAATAGGAACAACTTGGAACTGTGTTCATAAAGAACTTGAAGTCCTATCCAAAGCATGTGTTTTTCTGTAAAAGTCAGAAGAGGTGAAAAAAACCCCAAAACTCTGAAGCTAAAGAAATTTTGTACAAAATTAACAAGTTGGGATTCTTCAACTGGCAAACAGTGAATTGCCTGTACCCTCCAGGCTGTTCTTACACTGTGACAGTCACTGCACAGAGCTGCAGTTTCACCTGCTCACTGTGATACAGGTGAGATCTTCGCAAATCCTTTCTCCTCCAGCTTTATTTCTGTGAAAATTCCACATCCCCTAAACTGTTGTTAATATTTAGCTTGTGGTAACTCTGATTTTAATGCTAAACTATGCCTCTAGATTACTTAATTTTACCACTCACTGAAAATTGAGAGGCTGGAGTTGGAAAAGTAGGAAAACTTTTATTCCTTGGGGTGTCTTGCTGATTTTAATCACCATCAAAATTACACTTCAACCACCATAACTCAAAACAATCTACACTGTCACCATCAGAGTGCAAATCAACCATCTGAAGATAATGTTTAAGGCCTTGACATGTAAAGTGTTTGACTGGACTTTCTCCCCACTCTGCAAAGCATCCAGGGAACTGCTGCTGTACAAGTGCATTGAGAAAAGTCTCAAGGCCAGTCCTTGGCTTTGTCTCTTCTTTCATCTCCTTTCATGACCTGTTGTCTTGAAGTGCTGACCTGTCAAGCTCAATTCAAGTTGTTTGCAGCTTTTTAGATGTTTACCAGGTAAGTTGTATTTGCCCTTATTGGCTTGTCCTCTGCAAGGAAATAAATCACTCAGAAACTGATAGAGATGGGGGAACACATGGAGCTTTAAAACATTACAGGTGTAAAAGCATTATAATGTACAGCCTTCAACCAGAATCAAAGCGGTTGCATGTTTTGGCTTGATATTATTACTTTCAATATATATCGATACCATAGTGGAAGCATAATTTTAGCATGCATGTGTACTTCTCACTCGTTTCCAGTCAAATGTATTACAGACAGATTTAATTGTAATTTATCTTTTCTAGTTAAATATATATATAGAGAAAATAAAGGGAACAAAGGTATGCAATGACTGAAACCTGCTATCAGTGGCAGGTAGATACCAAGTAAAATGTGAACATTTTGAACTGTGCTTTTCAGCAAATAGAAGTAAGTTCTGATTTTAATGCTGCATATTCTATCTGTTTTGTTCTGTGGTTAGTTTTTAGTTGGCTTGAAGATATTAGCCAGCATGACTAGCCTAGATGATAACTGTATGTAGTAGAGTGGAAA